AACGGCCGTGTCTATACGGTCCCATTTGGTGTGCCTGGAGACCAAGTCACAGCTACAGTTCGTCGACACAACGATGATCACTCAGTCTCAAAGATTACTAGCATCGATCAGCCATCGCCGGACCGTGATGATTCCTTAGTGGGGTGCGGGTACTTTGGTACCTGTAATGGGTGTCAATTTCAGATGCTTCCATACGCCGTCCAGCTCGAGCACAAACGAAAGGTTGTCCAAAGGGCCTTCAAAAACTTTTCGAATCTCTCACCGGAGTTGCTCCCTGAGATTGGAGCGACTATGCCCAGTCCTTTGCAATATGGGTATCGAACTAAGCTTACCCCGCATTTCAACGGGCCACGAAGGGGCGGATTTAAAGAAAATACGCCGGTCCCAAATATAGGATTCTTTGCGAAAGACCCGGCATATGTCATGGATATCGAGGATTGTCCGATTGGCACTAATGCGGTTAGAGAGGGAATGACGGAGCGCAGGACATTTGTCAAGGAGAACCTGAGAACAGCATTTAAACGTGGTGCGACATTATTGTTGAGGGAGTCCACCATGAGGACATACCTCGAAGAGGCGGGAGAGGACGGCAAAAAATGGGTTGACAAGAAGCTGTGCATCACTGATCACAACGCAAGGAGCATTGAATATATTGGGGATTTGAAGTTTGATAATCCTGCCGGGTCATTCTTCCAGAACAACAACTCCATCCTAGAAAGTGTATGTTGATCTTCGACCAAAGCGGGATAATTCCGTGTTGCTAACCTCCCTATCAAAGTTCACTGCATACATCCGCGAGAACCTCAACCTCCCAGTCATCAAAAAAGCCGAGGGCTCCACCGAAGCCACCGAGACCACCGAGCGGCCCAAGTACCTCGTAGACGCCTACTGCGGCTCCGGTCTCTTCACCATCACCTGCGGCGAAGGCCTAGAGAAGGTGTGGGGTATCGACGTTGACAAATCCTCCATCGAATCTGCGCGCAAAAACGCCGAAGCAAACAACATCGAGAACGCCGATTTCATCGGTAGCACGGCCGAGGATATCTTTGGCAAGCTCACATTCCCGGGGTCAGAGACGAGCTTGATCATTGACCCGCCGAGGAAGGGTTGCGATAAGCGTTTCTTGGACCAGTTGTTGGACTTTGCGCCAAAGAGGGTGGTGTACGTTAGTTGTAATGTGCACACACAGGCGAGGGATATTGGGTACATCTTGTCGGATGAGAGAGGCAAGGGGTATAGGATTGATAGTATCAGGGGGTGCGATTTCTTTCCCCAGACGTACCATGTGGAGGGTGTTGCGGTCATGACGAAGATTGATTGAACGGGTTCAAGGGGGGCAAGGTTTGATTGTAAATAGATCTTTTTGTTGTTTCTCCTTCTTGGATGTTTCGCTTGTCGTATTACTACCAAAAGTTGACTGCTTTTTCCTCTTGTTGTGTGGGCTGGGTGGCATGCTTTTGGGTATGGACCGCGTACTAATGGTAATACATGTACTGTCTATAAAGCTGTCTGGTGTCTCGTGTCAGGATAGGATCTTATACGAGTGATTATCTATGGCCCGATTCCGAGTGAGGCACCATGTTTGAGCTCCCATGGTAATTGGTTTAGCTTGAAGACGCCTCAAAGATATATTGAGTAACCTTGGAATTAAGACACTTGAGCACTCATTGAAGCCTTTCCGAGTTTTTAAAACAAAGCTGGAGTAATCAGTATTCGAGTAGGCATACATTACCTCATCTCATGTAGTTATATCCGCCAGTTTCCATAGATTAATTCGGCAAGTATTTACAATTATCTTTGAGAATATACGTGTTATAAAGGTCAAGTAAAGGAAAGCGAGATTTAGCAGCCCACTCGACCTATGCACCGAGGAATCGTCATTAACATAACAAAACAAGCTGCTAAAACGTTAGACATCTCAAACTCCAGAACGCAATTGACGGCCCATCCATGATCCGGTACTGTACAGTTTTATTCCCGCCCGCCCAATGCTGCAGTATATACAGAAAAGCGCGCCCTTCGCAGCCCACTACTGCCCATCCGCCCCACCCCACCCGGCCCTCCTCCTCGTCCTCTCAAACCTCGCATTCGTCCTAATCTTGCCCCACCTGCTCTTAATCGTCGCCAGCCGACCCTGCATCTCCTCCTTCCTCGCGGCCGTCGTCTCGGCCACCATCCCCGCAAAAAACCTGCTCGTCCCAAACTTCTCCGCCAGCTTCCCACGCGTCCACTTATCCGGGTCCTCGGCCCTCAGCGCACGCATCTCTGCGATCTCCGCTTCCCCGAGATGGTACTTCTTCTCGTACGGCTTCTTGACGGGCGGCGGCAGCTTCGCCCTCACCTTGCTGTCGTCGATGGCGAGGAAGGGGTCGCGGCGGGGGTCCTCCTTGGGCAGGAATAGGTTCGGCGTCGCAAAGACGCTGGGCGCCGCCGATGGCGGGTTATGGATGATGTGGTTGATGGCGGGGGAGGCTGTGGAAGCGACGCCGCCGTGCCCGCCGACGACCATGCTCGGGTGGGGGCCGAGTCGGAGCTTTTTGGTGAGGCGGCGGGAGGTGGCTTCGCCGCGGGTGAAGATGCGGGGGGTGGAGGCGATGGAGGCGGGGCGGGCGAGCGCCCGTGGGAGGGCGGCGAGGGTGGTCATTGTGTGTTTGTGGTGGTATGTGGGGGGGTTGGCTGCTTCGCGGGGTGGAAAATTGGTGTCGTTTGAGGGTTGAGGTTGTGAAATTTGGTGGTGAGACTTGGCGGGGGTTAGGGTTGTTGGACGATTGGGAGCGAGTGAGAGGTTATGAGTCAAGGCACGCTGTGTGACGTTCTGTTCTCTTATTTTTGTTTTTGTTTAATTCATTAATTGTATGTTCTGTTCTCTTAGATCACTATGAGGACCTCCAAGTTGAACACAAGACAGAACGACTTGACACTGCTTTATCAGATTTGTCTAACGAATGCTTTCTAAAGGTTCTCTCGACCTCTTCAGTTGATGATCTTCGGGGTTCGATTGAAGATTGATTGTCAGTGGGTGATTCTGATCTGATGGGGAAGATTGCTTTCTCTGGTTCTTAATTGTCTAACAAAGTTGATAGGCTGACGGCCTACGGGGCCCAGTGGTTGGAGGCCGTTGTGACTACATGTATCTTAGCAAAAAGGTTCTGTTCTCTTAGGTCACTAGCTACGAACACTTCCGAGATGAACACAAGCGAGGATGATTTATTCTCAGAGGTCTAGCAGTCTGCTAGTTTAACAGGTTTAGTCGGGTTACAACAATGTGGTCTAGTTCTACATTGTGACAGGGTGGCTTAATATGTGTCCAATGGATCAAGGCCAGGACATGTTGGTTCTTGTCTTTGCTTGAGCCACTAGCCTCATAACGTATATACTCTCACCAGGCGGAATGCCAGGACAATTCATCCAAAATGGAAAGGGGGTAGGGAAACCCAGGAAGATATGGCTTTCTCGCTATAATGAGGTTGCAAGAGCGTCTACGCTAAAGCAACTAATGCTAACCAGTAAGATACCCTGTCCGCCTATTATGTGGACTTTGACGTAGTTTATCTCCCAGTGATATCTTATCTCCTTATCGAGAGGCAGGAATAGTCATCATACAAAGACACCTACGGCCATGGGGATAGAAGTAGCTTAGTTCTAGGGAGCTGTTGTAGGATGTCTTTTAGCGGATTCATGGACGCTTTAAAGCTATGGCCCCATTTCTATTACTTCCGCCTCTGGGGCCGTTCTTGACGTTCCATGAGAACGAAGTCAAGATGCATGTAGGAGTATGCCATTTGAACAAACTAGGAGTATGGTAAACGCCTCGTTAAATTATCGTGCCCTCGGTGATCATGTCGGTTTGTGGAAGTAACGTTCCTGCTACCATAATAACCAGGGTAGTGTAAAAAAAAAAGATATTGGCCATATAGCTAGAGACATTAGCCTTTGAGAAAACTGTCTTTTTCACCTTGAGCGTGCTCGTGGGTCGCACTGCTAGCTAGTGTATGAAAGGCCCCCGTATGATGTCAACGTGCCTCAGCCCAATATATCTGTTTACGCTTGGCTTTGGCACTCCCTCCTAGGGAGTATTGTGTATTCTCATGAATTCGGTAAAAAATGAACTCATTACTGCCAATTTAGGGTCTTTAGTGTTCAGAAGAGGTGTTCGATCGAGAGAAAGTCCATGCCATATTTTTTCTATAGGTCATGGCTACTTATTTATAACGACGAAAAACAAAGGAAATAATTTACTGTACTCTGTGGCTTCTTCTCCATGGATCATTAGAGAGAGTTCCGGAAAGTGAAATAACGTGAAACCAAGAGAGACAATGACTTTCACTAGTGAAATGAATCAACTCAAGAAAGAATAAAGAAAGAATAAAGAAAAATATTCGAAGGAAAAATAACGGAAAGTTCGTTAAAAGAAAAAAACGGCTACCGACTGATGAGTCGGCCTTTTACAGTCGGGAACCCAGTTGCAGCAATTACGGCCCCCCTCTCTGGAACCAAGCCACTTTCTACAGCTGTAAAGATAGATAAAGTAGCAGGTGAGCCCCGGCCCCTTTGAATGAGGACTACACCTCTTATCAAAGATCAAAGATGATCTATCATGCAGGTGCATCATGTGCTGTCACTCGGCTGGATTCTTTGTTTAATTCATTAATTGCATGCAGGCTGGGGTGTGGGTTATTTGCCATGTGGTGATCATTGACCCCGAAGCTCTACAGAACGGTCCTCCGGTCGACAACAGTGATAAATGATGTGACATGTCCGTACTTGACCCATCTGATTTCTTTCTATTACTCGAGAAAAACTACAGACAGATTCCAAAGAAAAGAAAGACCACAGTACAGACCAAACAACCAAAAAAACAGTAAAAAGAGACACTCAGTGCACACACAGAAAGAAAAAAAGAAGCAGAAAAAGAAACAAACACAAAACAAAAACGCCCTTTACCACTCACTCATCAAACTCAAATTACAACAAAAAAAACAAAAAGACCCAACACCCAACTAAACCCCCACCACAGCCGCCTGCTGCGGCGCCGGTGGCACACCATCCTTCTCCATCTCCGCTGCCATTGCCAAAACCCTCGCCTCCCACGTCTTATACGTGCGCCTCTTCGTCTCGCCCAGGTAGTCGACGGAGCCCTGCATGAACGACCCAATGCCGCTCTCGACCTTCTCCACCTTCTGTCTCTTCGCCGCTGGCATCGCTATCACCGCCGGCTTCGGCCTCGCCGCCCTCGTCTGCATCTTCTTCTGCGGCGGCGGAGCCGCCGCCTTCTCCCCCACCCCCTCCTCTTCACCCTGCAGCTGACTTTCCGCCTCCGCCTCCGCCTCCCCATCACCCTTCTTCTTCCTCGCCGCTGCCGCCGCCGCCTTCTTCACCGCCGGCTTCCTCCCCTTCTTGACCGTCCCCACCACCAGCTCCACCTCCACCTTATCCCCCGCCCTCACCTTCAACCCCACGCCATCCGGCACCTCCTTCAGCCACGGCAGCTCCCTAATACCCCTCCTACTCAGCTCCTTCACCCACCCGTCCGTGTCCTCCTTGCTAAACCCGGCCTTGCCCACGCCGCCCAGCGCCCCCATCACCCCGTCGCGCTTCATGATGTAGCCCTCGCCGCGCTTCCACTTACCCGCCGCACCCACCGTCACGTTCTTCCCCTCCGGCAGCAGCCGCTCGATCGTCAGCAGCGTGATGGCCGTCACGAGCGGCAGCTGGCTGCGCAGGGCTGATGCGGACGGCTCGGAGAGCATGCTGGTGGTGCCGGCGATTACGTGACGGTGTGCGCCGGGCGCGCCGAGGGCGGTGCAGAGGGTGTGGATGCTGGCGCGCAGCGGGGGGGGGAGCGTGATGGGGGTGGGCGGCGGGGCGTCGGTGGTGGTGGTGGTGGTGGAGGCGGTGGGGGCGCTGGGGAGGCGCGTGCGGAGGGGGAGGGCCTTTTGGAATTGCGTGTAGAGGGCGCCGTAGGTTTTTTTTGGGAGGGGGAGGCGGGGCGTGATGGTGGGGAGGTCGAGCTGGGTTCGGAGTCTGGTTGGGGGGTTAGTGCTGTGCTGTGGGTGGCTGGAGGAGAGGGGGGGGAGGGGGGATACCGGTCGCAGGCGATGTGCGCGCACACGTATTCGCGGCAGATCTCTTCGTTGGGCTTGAGGTTTGAGATGCGGTTCTTGGACTGGGCGACGAGGGAGGTAGCGAGCTGGATCAGCTCGGGGGGGAGGGGCCCGGCCAGCGTGGGGATGAGGCTTGTGAGGTGGTTCTCGATGCTGTTCATGGTGGTGGTGGTGGTGGTGGATGGAGCTGTGCTGCTGTATCGAGGGGGAGAGACGTAGATGTGAATGGAGCTGTGCTGCTGTATCGAGGGGGAGAGACGTAGATGTGAATGATATGATATGATTCTGGTGCAGAGAGAGAATGCCTGACTATCGCGTGTTGCAAGAGGAAGACGCGATGACAGCTGATGTTGAGTGAGGCCGTCAGTGTCGGTGCCAGTCGGTGCACTCGCTCGCAGTTGGATCTGTCACAGCTCAGTCTGCAAGTCGGAAAGCGCAGGATCGACGGCTGAGAACCGAGACCGAGACAGACAGAGACAGAGACAGACAGAGACAGAGACAGACAGACACAGAGACAGAGACAGAGACACAGACACAGACAGAGACAGAGACAGACAGAGACAGACAGAGACAGAGACAGAGACAGAGACACAGACACAGACACAGACACAGACACAGACACAGACACAGACACAGACACAGAGACAGACACAGACACAGACACAGAGACAGACACAGACACAGACAGACACAGACACAGGCAGACAGCGCCCGTTCCCCAACATGCGGCTCTTCGCGCCCAGCGCTGCACTTGCAGGGTCAGCAGTGTCGATGATCCCATCCCGGGTCTTGGCGCCAACCTTCGATAGTTTTTCTCTACAACACCAGCATCGACACACAGCTCAGACAAAACACCAACACCCCCACCCCCACCCCCACCACCGCCACCACCACAGACAGACACCCACAATGTCTGCCAAAGCCAAACTCATAACCGACTCGGACTCGGACTCCGACTCCGACACACCCGCGTCCTTCCACTCGGCCAACGAGACACCCCCGGCCGACGAGAGCGGGAGCGCCGGCGGCTTCAAGATCAACGCCGAGTACGCACGCCGCTTCGAGCACAACAAGAAGCGCGAGGAGCTGCACCGCTGTTTGTGATCCCAATTCCAATTGCTTGCTAGACATCTCATGTTCTTGTTTCTTCTATCTATCCATCTGTCTATCTATCTATCTATCTATCTTACAGGCCCTAACACACCTTCACAGTGGAGGAGAAATACGGCAAAGACGGTGCCGCAACAGCAGACGACGACTCGGAGGACGACACCGACAGCGAAGACGAGGACGACAATGCCATGCTTGCCACGCTCGAGCTCGACCGCGAGATCAATGCCACGCTCACCGCGATCCGCAAGAAGGACCCCCGCGTCTACGACGGAAAGACAACCTTCTACACGCCCATCCCCGAGGAGCCCCTCTCCGGCGACGAACAAGGCACCACCACCGCCGCTGCCGCCGCCGCAAAGCCCGAGAAGCCAATAACGCTCAAAGACTACCACCTGCGCAACCTCCTCTCGGGCACCACCCCCGGCGCCGACAGCGACACCCCCAAGCCCAAAACCTTCGTCCAGGAACAAGCCGACCTCAAGCACTCCGTCGTGCAATCCATGCACGCCGCCGCTGCCGCCGACTCGGACTCTGACGACGACGACGACGACGACGACGCCTTCCTCACCCGCAAACCCCAGCCCGAAGAACCCGACGCCGACGCCCCCCCGCCCCTCCCCGACCTCGCCCTCGCCGACAAGAACCCCGACGAGTTCCTCAACCAGTTCCTCAGCTCGCGCGCCTGGGCCGCCAGCGCGCCCACGCCCGCGCTCCTCGACGACGACTCCGAGGACGACGAGACGGCCGAGGCCTTCGAGAAGGCGTACAACTTCCGCTTCGAGAACCCCGACGTCGAGTCGCGCGGCACGCTCGTCTCGTACTCGCGCGACGCCGTCAGCACCAATACCGTGCGGCGCGAGGACAAGTCGGCGCGCAAGACTGCGCGCGAGCGCAAGCGCGAGAAGCGGGAGGCGGAGGCGGCGGAGCGCGCGCGCGAGATGGGAAGGCTAAGGAAGCTGAAGATGGAGGAGCTGCTGGAGAAGGTGAAGGTGCTGCAGGAGGCGGCGGGGATCGAGGGCGCGGGGGAGGAGGACGCGGAGGCGCTGGAGAGGGTGCTGGAGGGGGAGTGGACGGAGGAGAGGGTGGATGAGTATATTGCTAGCAGGTTTGGGGAGGAGTATTATGAGAGCGGCAAGGCGGATAAGCCGGTGTTTGAGGACGACATCGATATTGATGATATTGTCCCGGGCTTTGAGAAGGAGGAGGGCATGGGGCTCGACGACGACGACGACGACGAGGAGAAGGAGGAGGAGGAGGACGCAGAGGACGAAGGCGGCGTCGCACTCAACGCTGACGACGACGACGCAGAAGAAGAGGCGCCCTCCAAGAAGCGCAAATCCAAGAAAGAGGCCAAAAACGACGAGCGCAAGAAGAAGCAGAAAACCAAAGAGCTCAAGCGCAAGCTCGAGAAATACGTCGACGACAACTACGACTTTGAGGCGCAGCTGCCTCCGCCCACCACCGGCAGCAAGACCCGGGGCTTCCGCTACCGCGAGACCACGCCCGAGACGTACGGGCTCACGTCGCTCGACATCCTCACGGCGACGGACCAGGACCTGAATACGTATGTGGGGCTCAAGAAGCTGGCGACGTTCCGGGAGCCGGAGAAGAAGAAGAAGGACAAGAAGAGGTATGGGAAGAAGAAGAGGCTGAGGGAGTGGCGGAAGGAGGTGTTTGGGGATGAGAAGGGGATACAGATCCCGGAGGGGTGGAAACCGGAGGGGGTGCAGGAGGGGAGGGGGAAGAAGGGGAAGAAGGAGGCGGGGGAGGTGGATGTTGTCGAGGGGAGGGAGGGGGGGAGGAAGAGGAGGAAGCACAAGGCTTAGATGTGCGGGGGTGGTGTATATAGATTGGTGTAAAAGTTTTTACTGTTTTCCTTTTTTTTTTTTTTTTACAGTTTTGTCCTTTTTTCCCCGCTGGACAGTAGGTAATTATATCTTCTCTACCGATATGGTAGATCTTGAGATCTTGCTTTTGTTCTGTGTTCTATTAGTGCTTCTTGTGTGTTCTTCAAGTTCGATTATAGCGACTGAAGTGTGGAGTACATGCTTACCGCCAGTACTACTGCTTCTCGCACTGCCCCCCCAACCAACAACAAACAAGTAGCCCACTCACCACATAGATCCCAATTACAAATCCCCCACCACCCATACCCAATCCACACAGAAAGCACCACATCCGAAGATGAAGGGTCAATTGCAGAGGTATGAAGAGGTATGAAGAGGTATGAAGAGGCAAGTTAGGACTATACTGTTTTACGGCCAAGCCGCAATTGGGCCGAGTGACAGCCTATGATTCACACTCCATGATCCCCCTCCGATCCGGAGGTGGCTCATTCTGCTGTGAGTGAAAATGCAGAGGACAGGCGGGCTTTTGAGAGAGGAATACTAACATTTTGGTTTGTGGGACGGCTTGGCAATGTGGATGGGAATGGGGGGGGGGTGACCTGGCGGAGTGCGGCTTGCTGCTTTGTTCAGCTGCAGGGTGCTCTGCCTCCTTCGAGTAATCACCACCACTGCTATCATCGTTTCTTTCTCCTAAATCATCTCATGATCATCAATAGCTCTTCCATGTTAGCAGGGTCGGACACTCCTGCTGTTATCTAGAGCGTAGATTTTATAAGAGACTGGAGCGAATCGTATTGTATGATAATTAACAAGAACGGAAGGAACAAGCTCCTTTTATAGCACGATACGAATAACAGATACTAGCAAAGACTGCAAAACAACACCACAAGGAGGTGTACTATGCCTAAATCCACACACACACGTATCCTCGCTATACCCAGTGTGTCGACATTTGCAGGGGTTTCTGTGGGATTTCTACTGCCAGGTGCCCGCGGTGATCTGTGAGTGTGGCTCCCCCACCTGCTTAGCCTAAGGCTTATTGTCATGAGAACCTCATTGTACGTGTGGCTCTACCCCGGTGGCTCCTGATGGCGGGGTCACGTACCAGATGTTTCTCACTAACAGAAGTACCACTCTTCAGCGTCTGAGGTCCTGACCAACGTATCAGAGCAATGATCATGCCACTTCTATGTTTGCGGATAACGTCTTTTTGGCGAAGCTTCCGAGGGGCCTGTTTCTCGCTGGTGCACCTGCATACTACCTGGACATCTTGAGATACACCTAAATTACATAGGTATCACTACGTGTAGTACTGGGATCAGTCAGTGTCTTCTCTTCGACATCAAGATCTACGTGTCCCCTCAAGATCTACCAATTCAACCAAAACTCACAGCACCATGGCCACTCTACCTGAAATAGACCTTGTTGTTTTTCTCGAAGAGCCCTTTCTTGAGATCCCTAGGGTGGCTCCTGAGGACGAGCTTTCACTACCACTTCACTGGTTTAATCGTCTATACAGCAATGGGCCTTTCTTGCTGACATGCCTCATCCTTGAACAATGACTTCAGCCGGAATGTAGGAGTTACATTGAAGTACAGCCTTGATATGAAGAGTTATACCCGTCTGAGCTGCTCTTGTAACAGCCAGAGATACTGGCACTGGGAATAAGGGTGTCTAATTCCGAAAATACATTTGGGATACATGGGGTCGTACTGAACTGGCTTGAAACCGGCTTTGAGTACTTTCCTAGGTGAAATATGAATTAACGACCACGGAGTTTTGATGTGCAATAACGCAATGTCAAATATGGGGGGAGTAATATCAAGAACTGGAGACTGGATGACTTCCTGGATAAACACAGTATTTGGACCTCCACAATAGTGGAAATAATTGAGGAAATATGTGGAGTTAGTCACGCAAATTTTAACAGCATTCAAGGAGCAGCCCTTGTCAGGCAAGATACCCAATCTGTAGAGACTCAGATTAGTGGGGGTTAAACCTGATCTTAAGCCTGATAAAATCATGATTGAGGTTCTCTCAGATATCCCCAATCCTTACCGTCGAAGCGAATCTCTGGCAGGGCTCCACAGGTCATATAATACTAAGAGCTATAGCAGAGAGATCATTGCGGTAAAGCGTAACGACTGAAACCCATAGGGCTTGCCCTTAAATTGTGGCTCTTTTGACAGTCCTATATAACAGCCGTTCCAGACAACCCACGGACACCTACACGTACCATGCACCTACAGATGGGATAGATTGGCCTATAACGTCGACACCAAAGGCTAGATCTTCCTAGAACTATGCCACCGGGCCGGCCATAAGCAAATTCTCTCAGTCCATAGGCCACGATACAGTGCTTATCACAAAAGGAGTGGGACCATATAGGTGGGAAATACGAATGAAGAAGCGTTGAGGTGTCATTTCATTACCCTCCGAAGACTCCATTGGGGTACACATCATAGTTAATGACAAATAGCCATACGTATGGAGTGCTGTTCGCGCCTATGGGTAGTGCAATGGCTTCCAGGGTATTGAATATTCTCATCTTTAAATTTACTATTCCCCCGAAATCGGGAGATAATTCTTAGAATTAGCTAATAGAAGGGGGTTTCTTCTAGTCAAACTGTCGATGGCTGCCTCGTGGGCCGATATATTCCAGGAGCCTTCATGGGTAGATTCCTTCACCGTTATTCTCAAATCTAGACGGCGGATTCCGCATATATTACAGTTCACCTCTACACTTACTTTCTGTCTCAATAGGCATATGTTATACAAGTAGCGGATAGGCATCAACGAGGCTCTCTCTAGATCAGCTGGATTTCACTTAACAATGAACAAGAAACAGGGTCTTATAGAGACGAAAAGAGTCATATATGAGCCTTACTACCCTCATATCAACTATATATACTTCCAATTTAATGAAGATACTCGACCCCTCGGCGGCCTTCTGGGAAAGAGCGATAGTCGTTCGTAAATCGGCCAACCCAGTCTGGGTATTCTATGCATATATGGGCGGGTAGTTCTAGGTAGGAACGTTCCAAACAGACTTTGAGGCCAGCATGACTTGTTGGGAGTCCACTATCACCCATAGTGTGGTCCATGAGTAGACTCAAACCGCAATTGAGGTATGTCTCGAGCTGGTTCGTGGTGTATTGGGATCGACTCGTTCGTCGAGGCTCGAGGCTACCAAAAAACACCATTACAAAACTAAAGAACATTCAAGCATATTACTTGGTTATCTATCACAGAAAACGGATGATTAAGTGTTCCTCTAGCATTAATATGGTAATTAGTGTCTCGATATCAAGACGAGCTAACTTAAGCTGAGTCGAGTATCCGGCTTGAGCCGGCCCAAGCTGTAGAGATTCAGGCTTGTAAGCGCTCGGAACATTCGCTGTAATCGAAGCCCGAGATGGCCTGTCACGAACCACATTAGTTTGATTCGCCCATAGCTCTATTGCTGTTTTTTTACAGCTGGGAAGACTGCTATAGGTGGAGCAATGCATACTTCTCAGCCCCCCGGATAGATAGTAAACAGAGTGGCTTCTGGTCTGGGCAGTTTTCCAGTCTATGGGGAATACTATGGCCACGGTGTTTTGGAACCGACTAGAGTAAGTCGGTAGCTCAACTGTGATGGTATCCCAGAGCTTTCGAGCTTGCTTAAGCTCTCTTATTGAAGCTTGAGCTGGTTTAGCTGGATTGGGTCATGACTACCAATTCTGGATACGAGACATTACAAGAATGATAAACGAGCATGTCAAATTCCGTTTTGAGCCGTATTATTTTAGGATTGAAAATATTGAGACATCGAGACTTCAAAATGATACTGCTTCCGGTAATAGATATACGGGTTGGTATTATCCAGCCTTGAGGCAAAGTCTTGTGACAATATATTGGGAAATCCACTCTGATGCTCAACATGAGGTTAGAACGGCAGTGGCTCCAACCTAGTGGAGGGTACGAGCCGATCCAGCTTGTCGGACCCAAAGCCTGTCGTTAATTCGAGTTATGGAGGTGAGCTTATACCTGGATGCGGAGGATTTGAGCTCGATATATTCAAGCTCAAGGTCTCCATTACCCCCCCCCCCAACTGCACCAATCATTAATAGTACTAGCACTTTCGCGCACAATCTTGAGCTTGGTCGCATAAAGACTGACCAGTGTCCAGCGAGAGCAAAATGTGGCTGCCTTCTGATGTTATTTCTGATATAAAGTTTCTAATGACCTGTATGAGTCGAAAATAACTTAAATAGGCTTGGCCTATGAGATCAATTGTTTCTCTGGCCTAGATTGTGTAAAATGAAGGTCATCCATGGAGCAAGCTCTGTGGAACAGATAAGGATCCTAACAACCTGCACATAACCCAATTCCTCTTCTTATAAACAAACCCCTGCAAGGTGTAGATTAGATCCTAGGAAATATGCTATAAATACTGGCTTTTGTAGTCCACGAACGGTCGAATTCTATGTCTAGCCCTCTCTCTTAGAGCTCGAAGCCGAGAAGGATTTTCTTAAGTACTTTTAATAAAAAAGTGTTTAACAAATCAGGAAAATTGAGCCTGGGCCTTCTTTTGAACCAGGCCAAAGCCTGAGGATCGCCAATATATCTAGATCTCTGGCCATGGACCGACTCGCCTTGGGGTAAAGTTCAACTCAGGCCAGCATGATTCGAATCCCTGATATAGCGCGGATTTAATACTGAGTACAGCGTTTTTCTCCAGAGGTATTACTCAAAGAGCTTATAAGAAGCCATATAACTGTTGAGCTCTCTCAGGGCAACCCTCTATCTGCTAGCACACTAGAGTTTTAATTCATGGTACCGGGTTAGCCAGGATCATCAGACTATCCACAGTTCTTTCTTTCCTAGATTGGACTGTATTTTCTAAGAAAGTGCAGAGACCGCGATGCACTTGTGGTGTTATAATGTTGCCGTGTGGAATTATGCCCATCGAATAACCCAAGCCACGTCGAGTCTCTGGCGCGGACTATTGCTTTGTTTTTTATAAGCTCTATTCCGCGTCAATAATAATACCAGTTAGTTAGTAATTGTAAGCCAACTCATAGAAATCTATTGAATCCTCTCAATATGTATCTTCATGATCATTTGCGATGAGTCCCGGCAGCGATTCTGAGCCTTCTCTAGTCCTAGTATATGGAGCTTCCAAATTATGTCTGGTCCTATGTAGAAACTCCAATTCAATGCATGGCTTCGAAGTTTCCCTTGGGTGTAATGTGCTGTACCACTCAATAATATCGGTACAGCCGCATATTTCTGGCCGTTTTTGTAATTGTTAAAAGCGGCTTCTGGGTACTTCTACGTTAGTGCGGATTGCTTCTTGGTACAGAGCTTTTGCGTTGTGGTCTAGTATTTCGAAAGCCCCAGTTCCAACATCCAAAGTGTACCGAGACACTCAATCAGCTAGTGGTGCTTTTGCGATGTTTCTGCGCGGATAGAAGAACTATCCATGCCCTCTGACCTGACAGGTTAATTTGAAGTAAGAAAATGTCAGTTATCATCTCATATCTGACAGAACAAGTTTTTTCAAACAGGACGGACGCCCCGGGCCTCTTCTGACACCTGAAGTCTCCATATTGTTGGCTGGTACTGTATTTTTACCCCTCGTATCTTTTTGAGATACGAGCTTGTTACCAGTGCTGTCAGCCTATAACTGCTCTCCAGATAATCCATATCGGGAGAATATTGAACATTCGGGAATATTCCGGCCATTATGGAGGAGACGTCTTTACCGCTCACCAGGACACCCCCCTCACCCGGATAGTTGATAATGATTGGCCGAGAAGAGGCATAGAAGCCTGTAACAACGTAGATCCTTTCGTTACTATGTCAACTGCCCGGGTTCACGCGAGGGGGGTGTCCTGATGAGTGGTGTAGACATCTATTGCTCCAGGGGCCGGGGAATATTATGACTTCCCAAATGATTTGTCACTTTAGTGAGGCTCCCCAACGGGCTAGTCCGTTTAAGAAGGTCACAGACAGTTATTCCCCACAAGACCGCTCCATTTCGAAGGCCATAAACCAGGGAGGGACCTTTGAAGCTCTCCGTCTTGAGCTCCTTTGAATACAGGCCCGAGCACTCGCCAGCCTCCGGGCTCATATACTAATTGAGATATGCTCAAGGAGGAACCCTTTTGATCAGTGACGGAAGATTCATCTGCTGGCAGCAAACGGTGCATAACCTAATATGCGAGGGGCACGTGGATTACCACTTAGTAGACTTGCTATCAATAGGACAGATTGATTAGTTCTGTAGTGGCGATATATTAGTCTCCTTGCCATCTCTTGCTTTTGGTGTTGGGGTGTGTGTGTGTGGTTGGCCATGGAAATTAGTGATGTTTGTGTTTGGGGACGGGGAGCCTTCTGGCGGTGGGTCTGGTCAATACTGCTGACACTGTAGTGCCGGGCAATAGAACGATAGGAATGGTAGCAACGACGTAGGACTGGTATGGTAGAATGTAGGGCTGCTTGGTCTGCTGATATGTTACCCTGTATGTGCACAGAGAAACGTCGTCCCGCCATATCCACACCCTCACATCCGGCACCCAGCACCATATGGAGTGTTTTAATACGCCAGATAGATTTGTGCCTATGTCGTCCAAAGATTGCTGATAAGACCGTATGTTGTTCTGAGGCAGCATGTATTTTTGGTGCGGCATCATGAGCTATCACTCGCTCGTTTCTAGGGACCGGAGGTGTCACAATTGGCTCTGTAACCACGGCCATCGCCAGATGGAATTGAGGTAAACATGACTGGCTCTCGGGCAGACAGTGTTACCATTGAATTGGTCCGGAGGCCTTGGTTCCTCAACTGCAACGGACGAGAAAGCTCGGGGGTTTGGGTCCCGCCTTCAAAAGCAAGTGAATGCCATGGCTTTGAAGCTCTGGATGCCGAAGACCGTATGGCTGATACACGATAGAAGGGGGCCCGTCTTAAGCTGCTGCCGTAAGGCTTATATCTAACCATCGTGAACAGTCAACGACTGCCAGCCCTGGCTGTGATTCCATATGGAGAGATATTATGTATATCAAATCGTTCGACTCTGTTCTGTGGAATGTGACCCGAATGGTAATAAATGCTATCTTGACATATCGTTACGTCTAGTAGCTTTCCTAGAGCATCTCGTAGTACTAGTACGCCCAGTCGGGCTTTATCCTTGGCATTCAAATAGCACCTGGGACGAAAAACACACATGGCGAGTGTGGCCTAACGGTTAACACTCGCCCCCGGACGTAGACACCGTGCGGTTGCGCCACCTTCGATTACAGAAGGTCAACGGTTCAACCCAGGGGTGGGGGTAGTAGATATGGGTCTGGCCATATCTGCAGTACCTTTTGTTCTTTTTTTCGCACCGCTAAAAAAATACCTTAAGAGCAAGTTATTTGTAATTTAGCACCCTAATTTTATGGGCGTTGAATTTGGCCCTCCGTGTCCGCCTGGCGTGACGATTTATTTCTCCTGCAATCGCCAGCCTCAATATCGCAATTCACTCTTTGCAGTTTCCGTTACAATGCTGCGATAGACTGTCGCATATAAGGCTGTTAAACACTGCTACTCATAAAGCAGTGCATCAAATCACTAGAGTGATATTCCTGCTACTGTTCTGCGCCGATATCAACCCAGCAACCAGCACAACTCGCTACATATATCGCAATTCATAGACACATTAATATACAAACCGGAAAAGAGAATCTAAACCCATGCACCCTACACACCCACCAATGCCGCCTTCGCCTTCGCCTTCGCCTCCCCCTCCTGGGTGCTCCTCAACTCCTTATACCCCAGCACCCTCCCCTCCTCAAAGAAGCCCAACAGGACATCCATATCCGGCTCATCCATATCACACAGCTCCTCCAGGCTCCACGACTCACACACCCTCGACATCCACTCCATCCTCTTTGGCCCCTGCGCCGGCTCGGGCGCCACCTTCCTCAGCCTCTTCCTCAGCTCGCCCACCCTCACAATCGCATCGCCCACATTCGTCGGCAGCGTCTCCGCAATCTGGCGCCTCACAATATTCGCAATCTTCGGCCCATTCCCGTTCGTCGACACCATGATCTGCAGCGGGCCATCGCGGTGCACGCTGCCAAAGTAGAAGTCGCACTCGGGGGGCACGTCGGCAACGTTGACGGGGATGCGGTGCTGCTTGCACAGCGTGTAGATCTCGGACGAGGCGACGGGGTCGTCGACGGCGGTGAGCACCATGGCGATGGCCGGGTCGTCGAGGTCTGTGGGGAGGAAGTTGCGGTCGACGTGCGTGACGAGGTTGTGGGCGATGCGGTGGGCGACCTCGGGGACGAGGCCGGCGGTGGGCGTGATGACGGTGACGAGGGCGTCGGCGTTGAGGAGGGCGAGGATGCGGCCGGCGGCGACGTTGCCGCCGCCGACGACGAGGACGCGGCGGTTGCGCACTTGCCAGGCGAGGAGGAGGGAGCCGCCGGGTTGGATGGCGGGGAACTCGCCCGTTTCGGTGGAGGCGGGCGCGGTGGGGCGGGACATTATGGGGGGGGGGGGGGTGTGTTCTAGCTAATAGATACTGTTATGTGCTCAATTGCCTGCGAGTACGTGCTCTGTGTGGGAATTGGGGGTGAATTGGGCGGACTGGGTGGACTGCAGAGAGAAGATTGTGGTGGGAACGGAGGTGGGGGAGGGGTAATGATCGCATTCACAATTGCAGGCTGATCGATGATTTCCTTTCCTCCTTCTGCTGCCAAGGCGGGACCCTCCACTCCACGCCCCCTGTTCCTGTTTCAGGTTTGCCTGTGCAGTTGAGCCGCGCCCCCACACAGCACCACACAAGTTACAACAGCTAATCTACATAGTGCACTGCACATATCATCACAGCTCTTGCATCTGCGCCTTCTCCGAGGAACATCACTCCGGAGCATTCACATTCACCTTCACATTCACACAATCAACCAGTCAATACACGAGCTAATAAGATATTCACAGCCCTGGATACCTAGCTAGGTATACATATCAGCTTCAGCTGCCGGAGATACCACACCCCCTATCTGCCCCCCCCCCCACCCCCCACCACACCACACAACCATGAACCCACGCCCCACCCCCGGCGGCCGGATCCTCGGCAGTGCAGCCGGCCGCCGCAGCCTCTCCCCCGCCATAACCTCCGCCGGCCGCATCTCGCCCTCCGCCAGCTCCGTCTCGCTCAACTCGGACTTTGGCAGTCTCCGGGACGGGGGGGCGCCGAGTGTGTCCGGCGGTGATACCCTGATCTGCCCCATCTGCTCGGAGGAGATGGTGACGCTGCTGCAGCTCAACCGGTATGCACCCATTCCCTCTCTCTCTCTCTCTCACTCACATATGGAAGGGGAAGAAAGAGCTAACAAGTGCGGTGGTGGTGGTGGTGGTGGGCGGCCAGACACATCGACGACATCCACAAAGAGCTCGACGCCCCCGAAAAAGACGACATCAGCACCTGGTTCCGCAAACGCATCATCAAAGCCAAGACCTTCCAGCCCGTCACAGTCCTCAACCAAAAGCTCAAAGGCCTCGACGTATTCGAATCCAACGACGCCCCCGCCCCCACCACCAACGGCGGCAGCGGCATCAGCAGCAGCATAGCCGCCGCCGAGGCCCCCGACCCCGACATCGCAGTAACAAGATACCACTGGCAGCGCTCCACAAACGACGACTACTGCCTCGACCCCGTGTGCCAGAAGCCCCTCGGCGCGCTCAACGGCTCCGTCAACTGCCGCAAGTGCGGCCGCCTCTTCTGCGAGGAGCACACCATGTACCAGATCAAGCTCTCGCGGTCGGCGCAGCACGAGCCCGTGCGCGGCTTCTGGTGCCGCGTGTGCGAGACGTGCTACAAGTCGCGCGAGGGCTACAACGACCACCAGGGGCTGGTGCGCGACCACACGGCGGAGTTTGCGGCGATCCGGCGCAAGACGGTGGACCGCGCGTATCTGGAGGTCACAAGGCTGGAGAAGCGGCTGACGAAGCTGACGCAGCTGCTGGTGGCGCCGCAGGCGGAGGTGGGCGCGGGCGGCGGGTTTATCAAGGCGGTGGCGAGCCTGAGGGGGCAGAGGAGGGCGCTGGAGCAGTCGGTGGTGGCGTGGGAGGAGGATGCGGATGTGCATGTGTGTCCGTACTGCAAGCAGACGTTCTCGCAGTTTGGGCTCAAGAGACACCACTGCCGGCTCTGTGGGAAGGTCGTCTGTGGAGACCTCCGGACCGGCTGCTCGACTGAGGTCGGGCTGAACGTATCAGCCAGTACGTCCCCCATTCCCCATTATCAAAACCAATACTAACACTCTCCCGCAGACCCCAACCCCAACACCCCCACCACCAACTCCCTCTCCGAAAAGCCCTCCAACGACCTCTCCCTCGACCTCCGCATCTGCACCACCTGCAACACCACCATCTTCTCCAAACGCGACTTCGCCCTCTCCACCACGCGCCCCCACCCCTCAACACGCACCTACAGCGCCCTCGTGCAATTCCAAACCGGCATCAAGACCATGATGCCGCGCTTCCAGCGCCTCCTCGCCGCCCTCCAGGACCCCACCAAAACGCAGACCTCCACGCAGCTGCTCGAGGCCACAAAGACGCGGAAGCGCCTGCTCGACACGTTCGCGCAGTACGACGCCGCCGCGAAGCGCATGCTGGGCCTGCCGACGGACTCGCCGACGCAGCTGCGGCTCCAGAAGGCGGTGCATCAGGCGGCCGCGCTGTTCCTGCACCTCAACATGCTGCCGCTGAAGGCGCTGCCGAAGGTGCTCGGTGGCGGCGGGGGCGGCAGCAAGAGTAAGCGCGCTTCGGCGGCGGCGGCGGTGGCAAGGGTGCCCGGGAGCGCGGTTGTGAATGGGGGTGCGGCGGCGGTGGTGGGGCCGTCGTCGTCGAGGGCGCTGACGATGGTGTCTGTTGCGGCGCCGGCGAAGAAGGATGATGATGATGATGCGCGGGAGAAGGAGATGAAGGAGGAGCTGATGGTGCTGGAGGAGCAGCGGTTCCTGGTGGGCGAGATGCTGGGCGAGGCGAAGGCGCGCGGGGTGTTTGATGAGGTTGCGGCGCTGGCGGGGAGCTTGGAGGAGCTGGATAGAGAGGTGGAGAGGGTTGGGGGCTTGATTGCAGAGTTTGAGATGGGGAGGTAGATGTGGGGTTTTTCTTGGGGTTGCTTTCTCTTTTTGTTTTGTTTTTGTTTTGTGCGTTTTATATCAAGGTTTCTTCGGGGCATGGAGCATGGGCTGGCGTTTTTTCCTCTCTCTCTCTCCTTTTGGTTGTGGCTTTTCGTTTGTTTAGAAGTGTGGTATTGCATGGGGGATAGATATCCTGGTGCGCGACTTCTCCGTTCTCCTTGTGTCTAGTGCGTATGGTATATAAACAGTTTATTACATCTCGTTATCACCATTCATTAGATTCTCCATTATCATAGATTCTTAGTGCCGTTGTTATAGAGCGTGTTTTTCCATATAGTAAAGTAGAGTGCTTCCGATAGAATAGAGCTGTTGTAATGGAAGAGAAACAATCGATCAATCGATCAATCAATCAATCATTGCAATTGAAGAGACATTTTAGGGCGCCGAGTGATGGTTTGTGAAGTTTGGAAACGGTGTAACTACATGTACCAGCACGTATTGATAGGTATGAGCAATGGATACAGTATCAGAAATGGGGGGTACAACTGATATGGCATCAGTACGGCATTGTGAGAATATGCCGCTTTATCTCCGTATTTTGACAAAGTAAACGGTAGTGTTACCGCGGTGGTACATACGGCATTGCCAAAGACTGCGGTAGTCATTTTATCCATGTTTCTGTCACTGTACTTACCTACCTTCTAACTACCCACCCTGAATACAAAAACAGACAGTGTGCTGGTCAAAAGAAAGAAAAGACATCAGTATCCTGGCCCACACGTAATATCTTACCACCCGGGTGTTTTGTTCCCCTACCAAGCCCTCGCTCTTAGCCAGACCCGATAAGTGTTATAACAATCATTTACAGTTACGAGTATAAATAACCAAGCTAGGACTCCAACTTCATGCGGATAGAGACTAGTACGGAAACCTTAGATTCCAACCAACGTCACGCAACAGAACAGTGAAAAAAAATATCAATCTTCATTTCCTAACGTACGCACGCACCCAGCAAAGCAACCATCACGCAAACAAACATGTAACTTATAAACAATCAGTCCGACAAAAAATAGTGCTAAGAAGAAAAGGTAAAGAAAAAAGGAAAAAACGCCCCACCCTCTCGAATTCTCCAATCAATGGCATCCCCTAGCTAACAAACCACCAACAACAACGTTCATCTAAGCTTACACACACGCAACTCACTAACCACCCCCTAAAACCTATCCGGCAACACAACGGGCGCGACCAAGGTCCAGGTATACAACCCATAGCACACCCACGCACTAACAATCTTGACCCAACTCGCCGCATACGTCCTCCCCACGGGCGTAAAGCTATCCTCATCGCCCTTACCCGGCTCCAAGCTCATCGTCAACAACGTCGCCGTCCACGCCGTAGCCAAAAAGAAGATAATATGGAATCCCGTGTAGCTGTACTGCGCGCCAAACTTCTCGTCATCCGTGCGCGCAACCCTGTCGTCCTCATCGTCGCTCTCCTCATCCAGCGCCGACGCCGGCAGCGACCCGTCGTCGACAGCGCGGCGGAGCGCGCGCGCCCTCATCTCCGACCTGCTAGGCTCGGTGGTGATGAGCCCGTGCTCCGAGTCGCTGACGGCGGTGTAACCGCCGTTGGCGGGCGATGAGGTGCCCTTGCTGAGAGGGCCGACGCCCTGCGAGGCCGCGCGGGTGGTGGTGTATGCGATTGTCAGGAACGTAACGATGGCGCCGAGGACGATTGAGGCGGTTCGGGTTCCGCGGGCGCGGAGCAGCGGGTTGCACTGTTTGTCGTCGGGCTCCATGGAGACGGCGGACATGGTCAGGTATGTGCAGTAGATGGCGACCATGGCGGACTGTGCGAGCCCCGCGCGGGAGTTGTATTCCTGGACGGTTGGGTGGATTGAGATGAAGGAGACGCCGAGGAAGAGGAGGAGGTTGATGGTGATTGCGGCCTGGTTCATGGAGCAGCCTTGGCCGGCGAAGAAGATGTACATGACAATTGTGAGGGCGATGCTGCCGACGTACATTCCGAGGGTGCTGCCGAGAAGGATGCCGCGCCATGCTTTGGAGTCGGATTCGTCAATCTTCTCGAGGCAGGTTTCGGCCCACGTGTGTGCAAGATCAACGAGTAGGATGAGACCAAGGAGCAGGAACAACATGGCGCCAATAAGCGCAAAGTAGTTACCCCAGACCAGGAAGAAGCCCTCCGGAATGAGGAACGTAACGACAATAAGGAGGAACCAAGCAATAATTTTGGGGCCCCAATATCCATTCTGGATAGCAGCGCGCCCATCCCGTGTACTATTAACACCCAGGAGAATGATTGCGAGGATAGCGTGGAAGATGCCGAGGGCGAACTGAATACGGTGGACTGCGACGAAGCCATAGCACTTCTCGCCCATGCAGGATATCGGAAAGTAGTCGAGGGCGAGGTGTTCCAGCCTCTTGATGGCCCACGGCGTGAGCATGATCCACGAGAGAATGCAGTTTACGAGAAATATTACTATATACAGTTAGCCTCGAGAGCTCTCCGGGTTCGGCATCTTGAACTGTGTATGGGGTTCCATACAGGCATAGGAGATCCTCGTAGCAGTACTAGGACACTGTTAGCCTCCTGATTCCCAGAACCCGCTCCCCGCAGAATGACATACCTGCTATTGCACTTTCCACAGGCACTGCACAGAGCAGAGCACGCGGCGGCACCGCAGCATGATAACAGGAAAGACCCGACCTAGCAAGGAGTCAGTCAGTCAATAACAACCAGATCCCTGTGGCGAAGAAGCGCTTGCTTACCGAGTAGAGGCCGGGAACAGCGAGAAACGGAAGGGAGAGAAGAGCGCCCATCGTCGAGTTGCCAGGCGGTTAGTTGGTAAGGTGGAGATGGTGTTTGGTTAGGATGTGAAGGTTAAAGGTGTATGCGCGTACATCAGTTTGGGGTGGTGCATGTGGCGGTGCAAAGCCACCATGTCCCTGCAGGCGCCACATATCGGAAGATGACGTCATGAACTTCCACAAGTTTCAAACATGTTTTAGATAGCTCTAACTAGGTATCGGGTGCCTTTGCTTGGAGCGTTGGGGGGCAAAGGGGGCAGGGGCGTGTGTAGAGAAGGCCCATAATCTGGACCCAAAACTGTGTTTTTTTCCAAGAGTTGCATTTTTGAGCGAGAAACTGTGTTTTCGCTCACACAAACTGTGGTTTAGATAGAAAACTATATTTTTGCCTACGTAAAATTTCTCGAGAAAAAATTTCTCGAGAATTCTTTCTTCCGTGTATAGATTTATCAGGTTTAAATATAATAACTGTTAGAGTAGCTATTAGTTGTGCTCGAACTCGCACCAGTTGGTTGATCATGACTGCCCGCAGCCCGCTCATGACTTTCTCTTTGAACACGGCCTAACCTTGTCCCCAACCTGTCGGTGTATAATCAGGCTCAAGAGTCCTGGATCCATACTCAATTCCTTAATCCTGGTATTAGGCCTCGGTGTGGGCATCCCTTTATGAGTCCCCCTCTCTGTCGATCATGTGATATCACTCGACCCAAATTATCAGCCCGAAGCACGCATGGGGCCCGGAAACTTAGGGCCTGTTTGAGAGCGGCATCAAATGGGACTTCGGGTGGCTAAAACTCTATTTCTTGTGGTTGGGGTGCCGTTATGCTGGCCCTGATCATGAAAATAACGTTAGCTGCTTCAACACATACACAAAAAGCAACTCTAGTGGCCTGCTAATTTCGGCCGCCGTAACCGTCACGATCTTGTCTCTGTCCCATTCGCAAGCCCTGCCTATCGTATCGTCGTCGGTCAATAGGACGTATCCAGCCTTTAGGTTGCCTGCTCATATGTCATACCAATGGGACAGTTAAAATAATTAGTCGGACATGTTTTAATTAATGATTTATAGTTTGGCTATATCCCGCTCAAATACAAAGCAATACAAGTCCTGGTAGTGTAATGGCGCACACTCTCACTTATAACACTAAAAATGTTAAAATTGAGAGAGGTATGTCACTTTTTTCTTTTTTCTGGGAGAGGTGCCAAGGCCGTAGTGCCCGTGATTGCTGTAGGGGGGCTTGTTAGCTGTGATTGCTGTTGGGGGCTTGTTAGCTGTTCGAACCGAGGTGCTATTAATATTAACAGTACATAACTCTTCGTATTTGCTGACCCACCCAGCGTTCCAGTGTATAGGCATCCTATACACCCGTCTTGTCCCATTGATGGATGGATCGACCGAAAGACCTGACATCCAGTATTTGGGACGTCCAATCACCGATGACGACCCGATAGGCAGTATCCGGTGTATGGGACAGGCCAGGTAAAAAGTACTCTTCCTAGCCGTTAGGTTGTTCCTATGGCCGTGGGCACATGTACCTACGCCATTAGACCTTCTTCCGCTAGGATATCGAACCTTCGCGCTTAAGTTGGCTGTTTTGGCACTTCTAGACGGCGCTTTTGAGCCTGATCCAGAGTTGGAAATTCTACCTACACAACAATGTCACTTGCTAGGGTGTTTTAGTGGTGCTTGTACCTACATAAGTGTTTTCAAATACATTAGCGGAGAAAGAAGGCCGTAATATTAGGTAAGACTTTATATCCTATACTCGAATCTAGTCTCCGGTCACTCGGATGCAGCTTTTTGTCCTAATAACCCACGAGGAGGGCCCAATAAGCTCCAGGAAATGGCAATAAAAGAACAAAAAGTACTTGCTGAGGAATATATTTTTCACCTCGTGACCTACTGATGACCATGGGAATTCAACCCACTCGGTGTTCATGCAAGACGAGCTGTCTACCCCTAGACTACACCCGCCCACACAACCCCCAGCAGCCCGGAAGTGATCCTTAATGGAGGTGAGGGTAAAGCGAGCTAGCTGCTACATGCAAACCGAGTCGGACTATCTCTTTCACTTTTATGTGCGGCACTGGCATGCTACCTCTATAACCTTCACTGGGATTGAAGTAGTGTTAGGAATTACATATATACATCCAGCGTTACTTGATAGCCCTTCTCCCACCTGCGGCACTACAGTTTACTAGTAGCTGGAAAGATTGCTCTCTTTACCCATTGCTTCATCAACTACTATGCGCTTTCAGCGTAATTTATTGAATTACTTAGTCCATAACCAATATATAGTTCCCTTACGACCCCATAGCTGACCGGAACCGGCTCCCACATACAACGAGTGATAAACCATGACCACTCTACTCCTTATCCTTCGGCACCATATCCGGCAGCGGCCCCACAGGCGTGATGCTATGGGGGTTGATCTGCGTGTGCGATTTCGTATAATGCTACCCCACACCATCAGCAATGCAAACCACAGACAGAGAGGGAGAAACACCCCAAACCTACCTTCTTGATATGCTCAAAGTTCGTCGTGTCCTTGAACGCAGGTATATCCCAATACAGGTGCCTTAGCCACTTATGAAGCGCCGGATAACTAAAACACACCCATCATATCAGTCCCCCCCAGCTCCCACTCCCCACATCTCTCACCAGGGGCGAAAACATACTCATGCCTGATCATGCCCACATTGCACTTGAAGTGCTGCACATACACCGGATCGAACCTCACAATCGTCGTAAACAGCCGCACATCCACCTCCGTCAGCTCATCACCTAACAGATACTTCCCCGGTGAGGCAGCAAGTATATCTTCCAGCCACTGCAACGACTCAAACAGCGCCCCCATCGCCGCCTCATACGCGCCCTGCGACGTCGCAAAACCGGCTTTATACACCCCGTTGTTGACCGTATCATACACCCACTCATTCATCCCATCAATCTCGGCCCTCCTCCCCTCCGGCAGCAACCACCCCCCGCGCTTCTCCGCAGGCACAAACTCGTCAAACTCCTCATACAGCATGCGTATGATCTCGCTGCTCTCGTTGCTGACAATGGCGCCGCTCTTCGTGTCCCACAGCGTGGGCACGGTGAAGCGGCCGCTGTAGTCTGGGTTGACGCGGTGGTAGATGTCGCGTAGGAAGGAGGCGCCCGTCACGGGTTCGGGCGCCGTGGCCATCTCAGTGCTGGACTCGGAGGGGGTGGCGAAATGCCAGCCTGCGGGGTGGGTATTAGTGGTGTGTTGTAGGGAGGAGAGGGAGTGGGGAAGGTGGAGAGAAATACCGCCTTGCGTCATGTGCCAGTGCACGCTGGAGAAGCTGATGACGTCCTCGAGGCCCTTGAGCTGGCGGACGATTAGTGTGCGGTGAGCTGTTATAGTTTTAGAATCTAACCAATCGTCCTGTACCAAGACTGGGCCGGTGGACTAACCCCAGGGACAGGCATAGCTGACGAAGAGGTGGTAGCGGTTCTTCTCGGGCGGGAATTGCGCGCCGGGGTCGCGGGAGATGAAGTTTCTGAAGACGGACTATAATTTGGCAGGTTGTTAGCTTGCTGCTGCGCCGGTGGAAGGGGGAGGGGGGGGCATACGGGCTTGCGGTTGAATTCGCCGGTTTCTTTGTCGGCCCAGTCCGTCAATTTAGTCTACAGGCGAGTGCGAGTTAGTCTACCAGCTATGGAGCGTATACGATATCGGGATGGGGGAAAGGTACAGTCATGATTGAGAGCTGTCGATACTTCGCAGGTTGTAGCTGTAGTTTTAGTTGCAATGGTCGTATACTCGCAGGGCGGTGAACAAGACGGATGGTAGTGAGCAGCAGTGGGGAGAATAGCGATGCTCTGACAGCCATCTTATATATCCAAACAAGTGGGGTGTGGAATGTAGGGGGGGGAAATATGGGCACGTCCTCCATTCCCCCATATCTCACCGGCAGGTCAGGGCCAATGATGTAATTGGGGGCCGGCATGTATGTAGCTTAATCCACTTTAGTGTGTGGGTAGGGATCATTCTAGTGTGCTGATTTGTAATGGGCCACAAGCATTGGTAAGGCCCGCCGACGGGGGCAGCGGGGCGGTTTGTCAGTGCGTGGATGCGGCTTGTCATTAAGTTTTACAAACAGCATGCAGAGGATATGCGGGGGGGGGGGGGGGGGATGATTGGGCATTGGAGATGGGAAATGGGGGATTAGTAATTGTAGCAGTAAGCAGTAGACGGATATATGGATGGTGGTTCATGTGGGTGCTGTGTGGTGCAGTGTTGGGTGTGTAGAGTGTAGAGTAATCGAGTCGAGTTCCCCCGAGCACCGTCCATCACTCAGCCGGCGGTTTAGGTTTGCGTTCCAATCATTACCCCTCACCATCCAATGATCGAATACACACTTTTTTCAGACAGCTAGTGTGGCTCTAAGCACGTGCCAGGCGTGGGCAACAGTAAGAGAGAGAGCACTTCCACCAGGCAATATAAACTATTCCGCAGGGAGAGATAGAGACCAATTGATTCCTGCAGCTCTCGCCATCAAGCCCCTCACCGCTGCACTTGTTCTTCCTTTCTTTGTTCTCCGTGGACGTCACACAGCCACAACCCTAACCCACACACGCACCCCTAGCCCTGTGCACTCAACGCGTCTCTCCAATTGGCCAAACCTCCACTCGCTCGAGCACAAGATATCACGACCTCAGCTCTCACCCCACAATGCTGCACGAACTGTTCCTGCTCCTCTCCGGGCACACCTCCCCCATCCTGACGCCCAACGGCCTCCCCCCGGACTTTCCCCTCGTCTCGCCGTCAGAAAGGTACCCCACAACCCCCCCCCACATCCCCCCAGTGCTAGCTAGCTAGCCTATATATACTCCTTCATAGCATATCACTCACTAACCCCCCCACTCCCCCGCCCCCGCCTCTCCAGAGCAATCCTAACCTCCCTCTCCTCACTAGGCCACCTACACATCGCCCTGCGCACCTCCTGCACCAAGATCACCACCACGCACCCGAGCACCATCGCCCGCGCCGTCGCCAGCGGCATCGAGACGCACCACCTCCACGCCTTCCGCACGCAGATCCTGACCGTCGAGCGCAGCATCCTCGCGCACCACAACACATCCGGCACATACGACATTGTCTCGCTGGCCAAGGTGCTGGGTGGCTTCGAGGGGTGGGAGCGCACACTGGGCTATCTACATGGCTTGACGACGGCGGTGCTGGCGAAGCGCCTCAATGGCGCGAACATCATTGACCGCCTGAGGGCCGACATCCACACGGGCTTTCCGGCGCTGGAGGCCGTGGCCCTGCACCTGCTGAAGGTGGCCGAGACGGCGTGGCTGCGCGAGGTGGCGTCGTGGGTTCTGTACGGGCGCCTACCGACGAGCGCCTGGGGCGCCGGCGCCGACTTCTTCATCGCCGAGAGCGACGTCGGGGCTCCTGCCACCGACGGCGAGGATGACAGCGCCAGCGGCGCCCTAAAAGAGTACACCCTCAAGCCCACACACCTGCCCAGCTTCCTCCTCGCCGAGACGGCAACCTCAATCCTCTTCATCGGCCGCGCCCTCTCCATCATCCGCCTGCGCGGCACCACCGCCGACACCACCTCCGCCGCCACCCCCTCCCCCGAGATGTCCCTCCTCCCCAGCCACCTCGCGCACCTGCGCGCCCTGTCCTCCCCGCTCAACCCACACACGCTGCACACCTCCATCGCCGCCATCCGCCTCTCGCTCAGCCGGCACACCCTCCAAACCCTCCTCCCCGCAGCGCGCATCATCGACATCGTCCACGTGCTGCGCGAGTTCTTCCTGCTCGGCCGCGGCGAGTTCGCCGTGGCGCTGATCCACCAGAGCAGCGAGGGCGTGCGCAACCGGTGGCGGCGCGCGGCCGCGCCAGCGCCCAGCATGGTGGTCAAAGAGGGCGAGGTGTCCGCGATCTTGACGCGCACGTGGGGGGTGCTCGCGGGGCTGGTGGGCGAGGAGGCGGTCGACGAGCGGCTGGACACAGCGCGCGACCTGCTGTATCTTTCGCTTGCTGCTGCCGGCGGCAGCAGCGGTACCGCAGACAGCTTCAAGAGCCATCTTGTGGGCGTGGGGGTGGCGCTGAACTTCCACTTGACATGGCCGCTGGAGCTGTTTCTGCAGGCGGGGGACCTCGAGGTGTATGACGGACTGTTTGCGTATCTTGTTTCTGTGCGCAAGACGCAGCTGCGGCTGCAGGGGCTGTGGCGGAGCCGGCGGCCGGTGCGGGCCGGTGGCGCGCTGCGCGGGGCGCTGAAGCGGCGGGAGAGGGCAGAGAGGGGGGTGTGGGCCACGGCGAGCCTGGCGGTGTTCTTCCTGGAGACCGTGGTGGAGTATTGGCAGGGCGAGGTGATCGCAGGGGAGTTTGGGCGGCTGTTGGTGGTGCTTGGGGACGGCGTTGAGGACGGGCCTGCGGCCGGTGCGGAGGACGGGGAGGATGATGATGTCGAGATGGCGGAACACGACATCTGGATGGACAGTGGCAGCGCGGCGGAGAAAGAAACCACCCATGACCATAACCCCGGAACTGAACCTAAGAAGCAGCAGGACCCCGAGTCCCTCATGCGCGCGCACCAACTCTACCTCACGCGCCTGCGCCGCGGGCTCTTCCTCGCCGACGGCGTCTTTGCGCCGCTCCTAAAGCGCTTCCTCATCGCATCCGACGGGCTTGCGTCGGCCATCGAGGCGCTGCTACGACGGCACGAGAGCGCGGACCTGAAGCGCGAGGCGGAGGGCGAGGGCGCAGAGGGCTTCGCGGTGAGGCTGTGCGGCGACGTGAGGGCGCTCTTGGGGCGGCTGGTGGGGCGGCTGCAGACGATGGATGAAGAAAGGGATTTTATCGCCGGGGCGGAGGAGGAGGCGGAGAGGGAGGGGGGCAAGATTGATAGGCTGCTGATGAGGCTTGATTTGGGGAATCTGGTGGGGGATGTTTAGGGGGTTTATTCTTTTTTTTTGTTTTGTATTTTTTTAGAGAGCGTAGATGGGATAGTTAGATTGGATTGGTTGTTGATGGAAATGATTGCACGACTGCTTTGTGTGCGTTTCGTGCGAGTGATGGGCTGTGACTGGGCGGCGGTTTTGTGTGTTTACGGATATCTACTTGTAGCTAGCCTGCTTGGCGCGGCTCCAAAAAAGCTTGTTCTCAACCCTGCAGGGCGTCTGCTCCGACAGACAAACACCACAGAAATCCCGCCATCCACTCATTACCCCTACATCCGCACCCACAATGCCACCCCGCCTCCCCCTCCCCCTCCGCCTCCCCCCCGCCCACACCCTCCGCTGCCCCCTCCCCCAGCGCCGCCTCCTCACCGTCCTCGCCATCGAAACCTCCTGGTACCCCCCCCCCCCCCTCCTCCCCCTCCTCCTCTTCTTCTCACACTAACCACCCCACCACAGCGACGACACCTCCATCGCCCTCCTCACCTCCCCCACGCCCCACACCGCCACCCTCCTCGCCCACGAAACCGTCACCTCGCCCAACCGCATCTACGGCGGCATCCACCCGCTCATCTCGACCGTCTCGCACGCCACGCACCTCGCGCCTTTGCTGGCCGCCGTGGTGGCACTGGGCCACAAGCCAGACTTTGTGGCCGTGACCAGGGGCCCGGGGATGCCGACGTCGTTGTCGATAGGGCTGGATACGGCGAAGGGGCTGGCCGTGGCGTGGGGCGTGCCGCTGGTGGGCGTGCATCATATGTTGGCGCATGCGCTGACGCCGAGGCTGGTGGCGGCGCTGAATTGCGCGGCGGTGGAGAGGGCGGCGGCGGCGGCGGCGGCGGCGGCGGCGGAGGGGGGTGCTGGCGGGGTTCCTGAGGGCTCGGAGGTAGTCGCGGAGAGCCATGGAGCGGCCATCGAGAGCTCTGAAGCGGCCCCTGAGAGCACCCAAGCAGCCCTAGAGATTTCTGGCGCGGCCCCAGAGAGTATCAAAGCATCCCCAGAGAGTATCAAAGCAGCCTCAGAGAGTATCAAAGCAGCCTCAGAGAGTATCAAAGCAGCCTCAGAGAGTATCAAAGCAGCCTCAGAGAGTATCAAAGCAGCCTCAGAGAGTATCAAAGCAGCCTCAGAGAGTATCAAAGCAGCCTCAGAGAGTATCAAAGCAGCCTCAGAGAGTATCAAAGCAGCCTCAGAGAGCTCCGATACGTCCCCCTCTCCCACCCAAGCCCCCCCGCCCTCTCCATCTCCCACGGCCCCCAACCCCCCGCTCGAACCCCTCCTCGAAATCACCACGCCCGTCAAAAAATCCCAGATACTCCAGCAGCCCGCACAAACCCCCACCGAAGCCCCTCAATTCCCCTTCCTGACGCTCCTCGTCTCGGGCGGCCACACCCAAGTCGTCCACAGCCGGTCCCTCACCTCGCACAAAGTCCTCGCCGACACGATGGACATCGCACTCGGCGACATGATCGACAAGTGTGCGCGGCAGCTCGTGCCCGCCCGGGTCCTCACCACATACGGCGAGAGCGTCGCCTACGGCGCCGCGCTCGAGGAGTTCTGCTTCCCCGCGCGCGACGGGTCAGACAGGCGGTATGGCTACCGGTACACCCTCCCCGGCGGCAAGGCGCGGGCGGCCGAGGACGAGGCGGAGACGGCGGCCTATGACTGGCAGCTGTCGGCGCCGCTGGCAAAGACGGGGCCGGCGATGAGGAGGCTGGCGTATAGTTTCAGCGGACTAGGGAGCAGTGTGGAGCGGTGTTTGAAGCGGCGGAAGCGGCTGCTGGGGGGTGTTGAGATTGGGGATGAGGAGCGGCGGGCGCTGGGGAGGAAGGTGATGGTGCTGGCGTTTGAGCATGTTGCGGCGAGGATGGTGCTGGGGTTGGAGGCGATGGGGGAGGAGGGGGGGAGCGTGGGGACGGTGGTGGTGAGTGGGGGGGTGGCGGCGAATCGGTTTTTTAGACATGTGTGAGTCTTCTTCTCCCCCTTTCCTTGGTGGGTGGGTGGTGTGCTGATGTGGGGTGGTGGTGGGGGCAGATTGAGGATATACTTGACCAGCAAGGGCTACCAGCACATCAAGATCGTGGTCCCGCCGATGAAGTTCTGCACAGACAACGCCGCCATGATCGCCTGGGCGGGTCTCGAGCTCTACAGAGCAGGCTGGCAGACCGGGCTCTCGGCACTGCCGCTCAAGAAGTGGAGCATGGACGACGATGTCTACATCGAGGGCGAGGAGGACAACGCCGAGCACGGAGTCGGCGGCGTGTTAGGAGCACAGCAGTGGATCAAGAGGGATGTGGAGGAAGAACCTTGATCTTTGTGGGTGTGAGGGAGTGAGGACTTGCTTGCATTTGTACATAGATATGTAGATAGATAGATATCCATTAATTTGATACGTCAGCTTTCGAATGGCTCCAGATAGGTATAAACACTGGTTTTATTGGCTTCTGGGAGTTGTTGGAGGCATCTAGATCAACAGGTAGAAGTTGTGGATCACTTTATCGTAAACCAGTAATCTAATCATTTCCAGCCCCGAATAGATGCATAGGCCAATTGTGCTGAGAACCAACACTACTAGACTCTTGCGGTTCTGTAATCCTAATTAACAGATTCACACCCTTCGAAATTGACTACCACCGACAGGGAGCAATAGTAGCCATCCATATTTTCCAATCCCCCCAATAGCTAGTGTTGGGCGCGAGCCTGTTCGAGACGAGCCTGACATAGAGCTCGAGCTGGCTCAGATTGTGGAAAGAAAGGCTCGGGATGTTCGAGCTCGGGAGCATGGCTCGACCCCCCGTTAGTATAGCTGAAAATAGTCATCTCCATGTACTTTTTTTTCATTTCTAGGATCTATAAATAAGAAAAGAAAGAGAAAAAAAATATTGAATCGGCTCCATCAGGGATTCGAACCCAAGATCTCCCTGCTGTCGTCATAAGTTTCCTAAATCAGGGTGCATAGACCACTATGCTAACAGAGCTTGAAGGTCTGCCTGCTGGCGGAGATAATAAGCTCTAGTAGCAGTAGCAAAGAATGGATGACTTAGGCTAGCTCGAGCTCTGATTAATATAACAGAAAACAGTCATCTTGATATACTTTTTTATTTCTAGGGACGAATTGAGAGAATCTATCTTTGCCATCATCAACTCATTATTTATAGTCCAAAAAGCTCGAGCTTTTCCAATATTAGCTCGAGTTAGCTTGAGCTCGTAAAAATGAGAGCTCAAAGTATTCGAACCTAAAGCTCGAGCCCAATGCTCGAGCCAGCTCGGCTTGTGCCCAACACTACCAATACCGCCATCCAATTAGCGATTAGATTAGTTTATAGCAAAAGCACGAAACAAAACCCTAAAACTTTCTTCACACTACACATGATTCCCAATCAACCGTTATATATCCCCCGACCCAAAAGGCACCAAATTAAAAAGAGAGCGAACACGAGTGCAAAAAACTTCTTTTCTTACACTAGATAAATCAGCCTATCGGTATTTGACGTAATGGATCTATAGCTAAGAGCTCTATATACTGTTCACATCTCTACCCGCAATCCCATGGCAAGTAGAAAGAATACGAAACACACACACTTAAAGCTAGAATTAACTTCCAAGCTTGTGCAATTGGATTCCTATACAGGTGCGGATAGTGCTTTTGACCACGAACCTATAGCTTTGCAGCTTGACTGTTTACCGTTATATGGAGTCTCTAGTCTTCAAAGTTCAATATGCATATATTTCATAGTTCGGACTATCTTTTCTACCACCGCACAAACTAATCAAGCCCAAATACTCGGACAAAAACGCACGGAAAAACAAACTCTATTCTTCCGCTAAAAGAATATTCCTAACGCTTCTAATCACTGCGTCTGTAACTCCACATACTGCAGCAGCTAGCAGACGATCTAGTTTGATATAAAAAGCATGCACGCGGATTACTATTTAACCCGGCCACCGGTGAATCACACACGCACGTAATCCACCCCTCACCGCTCAACCCCCTGCCCGTTCAAACACATTCCCCCTCTCATACTTCTTCTTCCCCTCCTTCGACGCACTCCTATTCCTCCGCGCTGTCGCCACCGTACTGCTCGTCCCCCTACTCCTCCTCTCCCCCGAATCCTCCCGCTGCCTCTTGTACACCTCCTGCGTCACCACGCCAAGCAGCCACTGCACAATCTCGGGCTTCTCGATGATGCCGAGGAAGGGCCGCTGGCAGCACTCGGGGCAGATGCTGTCGGGCCAGCGGTGGGTCGTTTTTTCGACCGCTTCGGTGTGGATCATGTAGTTGCACTCTGTGGAGTTTGCGGAGTAGGATGTGATGTGATGGCCGCAGACGTAGTGGATTATGTTGGGGATGCACATATTGGTGGGTTTTATAAAAGTTTCTTCTTCTTTCTTTTCTTGGGGACCGCTTGGGGTGGAGGATCCAAAGTGTGTTTTATGTAGATGCTGGAGTTGACTTGAAAGATATTGTGAAGGCTCTGGTGGGGGGTTGTAAGTATGTCGTTTTGAAAGGGTGGTAGGGAGGGCAGCTGGGTGTGGGAGGCTCAGACTGTGGTGTAATTGAAAGCTTCGTAACAGTATACGTGATTCAGGTAAGTTAAGTGAGTACTGTTTGCACGATTGTCAGCACACCTGTCCACAAACACCAAACCAAAACTTAAAGCGAAATCACCAGAATCCGCACTTCTCACGAGTGATTATCCATGAACCAAACAAACGTTTCCCGCCCCACGCGAGTTTTTTGTTTGATTTGTTGATTATTAATTCCCCAGCACATGCAGTACCAAGTATAGTAGTAGCACTGTCATTCGATACAGAACAGGTGGATCAACCCAAACAGGGACAGAGATCTGTGACAAAGGCCACGGTTGATTGGTCGACGGAGGGAAGGGCTAAGCCTGTCATGGCCAGTAACTGAACCTAGCCACCTCTCTTTTGCGCTAGCGTCTTTCACGGACGCAACGCTAGACTGGAGCATCATGGCATGTCACTCGGGCACTGGATTTTGCTTGTGCGCTCCAGGGGAATGCACGATAAGATAAGGTCTGCTTTACTAACCGACAGCTGAACACCGGGCTAAGCTCAAACGTAACAACAGCCAGTTAGGTACGGATTCTACCTAGCGACATAATGTAGCTCTCCCTTAGCCGCGGAATAGAAGTATTTCCAACGTCGTGCTTGCTGTATGGAGAGAGTACTATGTATACCCTACTGCACTTGCGCTGGGTGGCTCTTTGCTTTCTCCTCTTCCTCCTGTATCCACTTGGTCTCAGACCTCGTACATACAAGCTCGAGCCCCACGCACGTAAGACACTACTAATATACCCTATATTACGATTCGATTAGAAGAGAAATCCCCCAGGGGAATTTACATGTAGGTAGCAGACATTGGTTATTCTGCACAGCCAGACCGACAACTGAAACACCGCTCGCGATAATTAGATCGGCCCCAGAACAATCCCCGCCCGATATTTCCCCCGAATTGAATCGATTAACACAGTCGAGTATCATCGCTGTTCCACTTTCTCCCCGAACAGACTCTCAACTCGACCTCGCAAAAAACCTACCACCACCGACCCCCCACCCCCCCCCCCGCTCCCTCCCCCTCACCGCTCATCCATATGGGCCGCATCGGGACCATACCCACAGAGTATTCGTAGAGCAGAGCACATCATCATAGCAACCCACACACGTGCTCCATTACCGTTTTGTCTCACCAGGTTCCGCACCCACACACGCCATTGCGGGTCCACACCAAATGCCCGATCCTGGGAAGATATAAAGTTTGCGGAGATCACAGATTCTCACCGTCGCACGATCCTGCCCTATCGCCCCGAGTACTACCTACATACATGATGTACCCACATATCATATATCTATCCCTATCGTGTCCGAGCCTGGGTCGGCCGGTCCGATCCTGCAGGTCACAGGAGACAAAGTGTTACAAGAAACACAATGGGCATTTTTTATGTTTCTGTTTCTACTTCTGTTTCTGATTTCTGTTTCTGCGTTTCTGTTTCGTTCATGCACTCAAACCCGCAACTGGAACTGCACCTGTACCTGCAACACATACCGTACCTGCAGCAGCAGCAGCAGCAGCAGCAGTGCGCACAACGAAAAGAGTGTCAGAAATAGGAAACAGCTCATCTGAAGCAACAGCTTCAATTCTATCCGCAGAAAAGTCGATATGAGATGTTTCACGGGCTAATCACTCCGAAGCAGAAACACCGTTCCAACCACATTGTTTCTTTTTTTTTCTGTTTCGTCACCAATTCAAATTGACCTCCACACACATTAACAAACAGTAATAATGTACATAGGGTTAGGGTTGTTATCACACTTACTCACTTCCACTCAACACAGTAAACCTGCTTGCTTACTAATCACAACTCAACTACGAGGGAAATCGAAACCCGGTAAGTGATTTCGGGAGCTTTAAACACTGAACGGAACGTACGCGCTGAGCCGTTCTGTTTTCCCCCCATAATTCACAATTTCCGCCAGCCCCCCCGCAATCTACTAATAGACTACCGCATAACCCTCAGGAGCCATGGCCGACGATAACGAGGATAAAGATGTGCTGGCAGCTCTCGATAAGGAGGCTTCTGAGTACTTGAAGGTATGTAGTATACTGCCCCCCACCCCCGGCCCCCGCGATGAGTAGTAGTTGGTAGGAGGGGGAAGAAGGGTGGAGGAATATGAGGTTCATGAGTTCAGATTGCTGATGCTGCTGGTGAACAGGACGCAGAGATATCTCGTATGCCCCTCCTCTCCCCTACTGGCCATTTACAAGTAGTTTGGAGTTCAACTACTGACATGAGTTACGCCCCGCAGGAATCCTAAATGCCTTCAAACTCGACGCGTAAGTTCCCCCTTTCCCCTCCCCCCTCATCACGACCCTCCGCTATCACAGAAAACTGACCTCCACCCCCCCACCCCCAAATAGCTATGCCATCCTCGACCTCAAACCCGGTGTGCCCGAGTCCGACATCAAAGCGCAATTCCGGCGCAAATCGCTCCTGATCCATCCCGACAAGACGTCCAACCCGCAGGCGCCCGACGCCTTTGACCGCCTCAAGAAGGCGCAGGGCGTGCTGATGGACGAGAAGCTCCGCGAGCGGCTGGACGAGGCCATCGCCGACGCACGCATGCTGCTGATCCGCGAGAAGAAGTGGACCGTCGACAACCCGGAGCTGGTGACGGACGAGTTTGCCGTCGAGTGGCGGGAGAAGACCAAGCATGTGCTGATCGACAACGAGCTGCGCAAGCGCAAGCAGCTCAAGGCGCAGATGGCCGAGGAGGGCAGGGAGAAGAGGAAGGTGGAGGAGGAGATGGATGCGAGAAAGAGGAAGAGGGAGAGTGAGGTTGCGTGGGAGGAGACGAGGGATCAGAGGATCAATAGCTGGAGGGACTTTAAGACGAAGGGGGAGAAGGAGAGGTCCAAGAAGAAGAAGAAGATGGCGCCGATCGGGTAGTTTGGCGGGGGAGGGGGGTAATCGTTGTTTCTTCTTCTTTTGCGCCTTTTTCGTTCTTTCTTCTTTGTCTTTTGGTTCGGTTGGGCTCTCTCTTGCTACTGTGCGTGCTGGTTCGGGTTTCCTTAGTATTTTTCTTCCTGTATTTTCTTTCCTTTTTTTTTTCTTTCTTCAATAGTTAGAGTCGGCAGTGCGGGCCATATCGTGAGCGTGCGGGGAACCCAAGTAAACTACCGCTCTTCTCCTCCTCATCATCATCACAACTCTAGAATAAGCTTAAACAAACTGTCATACCCAATGTTGTCACAATAATATAAGCAAGCAAGGGGGTGCACAGTTGTCCATTGATCAGCAGCTGAAACAATCATTAGAGTATTAGACATCAGACCATATATACGCATTGTATACCATGACATGACCATGCAAGACGTACTTGAACCAGATGCTGTATCAACATGTGTCTATCCATCCATTCATCTACTCCATCGGACATACTGCATCCCATCTCATCCAGAGTAGTTACGTAGGGTCACTCTGTATGCAATGTCAAGCCATCATGCTATTGGACCGGACAATAATAAACCCCAACCTTACGTATATGAGGCTACTACTACATGAAAGTACTTAGCAACTGTACTTATTACGCCGACTCAAATAAGGCTGCGCACTGCCGGCCGGGTGACGACCACATACCTACTTCTTACTCTCCTACACAGTCAGGCGCGCGACGATCACGACAGCTACCAGCTAGCTAGTTAATTATGCTCAAGCTTTCGATCTCATAGCGGGTACCTTCTTTATCCTCTCCGTCACCGATCGAAAAAAGCACAGAAGGTCTCGAATTCAAAACTCCAGTATTCCAATTCCCTAAGAGATGTCTTCACCCTGTGAAGAAGAATAGCCAAAAAAAAGCTGGGTTGCACATCGATCATGCAGATGGCAAGAACCAGTACCAAGAACCACCACGCCCCCAACCTTTATCCTACAACCTATCAACAACATCGCGCGGTAGAACAATACATACAGACAACGCAGAAGAAGGAATAGAACTAGAAAAGAAGCGAATGTGATTAAAGAAAAAGGAGGAAGGATGAGAAGGTAGATGCATATATACTTATGCTCGAAATCGAGAAAAAAAAGGTAAGAGATAGAGAAATATTCAAGTCCATTTAAAGAAGTACAAGAAGAAGAAACCCAACAAAGAGAAAGAAAGGAAGAAAAATGAAAGAAAATAACCTTAAACCCCCATAATAGCCAGTCCATAAAGTTGAATCTCAGCCAACTTGCGGTAACATACAAGACTTGGACAAACTAAGGAAATCCTTGAAATAATTTAACACGAAGAAAAAAAAGTACCCTCGATATCATACCCCTCCCTCTCGCCATTAACACTCCCTTTTGTGCCCACAACCCCTTTATCGCCGATTCCCATTGTAGGTTAACGATCCAGTGAAATAGGAAATAAAAACATCAAGAGAAAACTAAATCAGAGAAAAGAAAAACAGCAAAAACGATAACAGCAACTCCCGCTATAATCGTACAATATTCAGGATCCTATCCGTCCGCTATTACCACCAATCGCATGATTTCCCTCTACCCTCTCTCCTTTCCGAAGAAACGCATTTGTGGTCGAAATATATGTGCATGGGGTCTCCTTGCTCCCCGGTTGCTTCTTCAAGGTTGGCAGGCTGGCTCACGTCCCGAATATCCTATTATTACCGCGCCCGTTTTCGTTCGTCTGGGCTTATCACTACGGCTGGTAATAATGTCCAACACCAACCAGTCACGCTGTAAGGTTCATCTCTTGGTGTTCCCGGCCGCAGTTCCATTCGGGAATTTCTCCCGCGTGTGTAGATTGGGTGGGGCTGACAAAGTAGGCATGCGTCCCGGGAAGCAAAACTCAGTCAGTGACTGCTGACCCATGCAAAGATCCGCCTCTTCCCATACCGGTAGGTTCTCGTTTCCTACTTCTTTCTCCTTATTTCCTCTCGACCCCAAGCAATTCACCCAGGAACCAACATAAACCCAGCGTCCACCTACCCGCTAGCTATTTCCCCAAAATCCCCAACGAAAGTTAATAAACCCACCCCCAAAGCCACAGTATCAACACCACAACCCACTAAGCGCCTTTCCCAGATTGACAAAAATTGAAAAGATTAACAAAAATTCAGAACGAAGACCAGTCTGCACTGATATCTTTGAGAAACCGCGTCCCGAAATCTCATAATGTCATTCCAGCATCTCATGGACATCTATCCGTTCACGTCTTGGTGTGCTGCTGTCCGATTGTCGTCTATCGCTTGAGGCACTCAAATGATTTCTATCCCAATCATTCCCGTTCGACTCCACTCTTTTCAGCTGTAAGGGTGGCAGTTGAAGATTAATTGGGGGTTCCGAATTCTCATATACAGTCCCTGTTGAGACTGGAGAAACTGGTCGCCGGACAGGAGGGAACCCTGGAGATGGTGCAGAAGCGTTGGCGTACTGGGCCAGAGAAGGGAAATCGGATTGCATCGTTCTTGGGCGTGAATCGATTGGTGAGCGCAGGGCCATGTGCGGATGGAGCGAGTACGGTGATTGTGGGCCTGAAGGCTCGCCTTGAAGTCGCTGTTGTGAGGGACCCACGAATGGTGGCGATGAAATCGGGGGGATGGAGTGGCCCGGTGTGTAAACTCGTTCTTGGTTTTGATACGGAGATGGTTGGTTGAGTTGAAGTGGAGGTGGGATACCAGTTAATAGAGAGAAAACGACAACCACAAAGAAGATACTTGTCTTTGCGAGATTTATCTGGACCCGAGTACGAAGATAGCGTCCATCTGGATGACGCAGTTGCAGAGTTTCCTGCAGATCCTTTGATCCCTGGATGGCAGATGGTATGTCACTTTGAGTAACATTCTGAATGGCCGCGTAAACAGAATGAGATGATAAAGGCGGCAGGTAATTTGGCCCTCTTTCAGACATCTCCTCCTGTATCCTCCTAGAAAGACGATATAACTTATCCCTATCGTTTGAAGAAACAATATCAAACAGACTCCGAACACCGTTCAACTCAGCGGCAGTATATCCAAGGAGTTCATGCACACTTTGTGTTGACTTTGCAACAACTAGATCAGTCGTAAGGTATGCAATTGCATTTGGAACCGGCGACGGTAAATTAAACCTAGGGGTTATGGGGGATGGCCTGTCATCGAAATAGCCCCCATTTTGGCCGCCTAATGTTTCCTCACGAGGTGTGAGTGAGGCTCTCCTGAATCGGGAGTCATTTGACTGCGATTTCAACACACGATGAGTACCTGTCCGATATGGCGCCGTAATCGCAGTAGGCGATGAAAGAGGTGAAACAACATTCTCCGCTCTGTGGGATTGTATTGAGCCAATTTGCCCGACCTCGAAGCTGTGAGTTCTTTCATCCCGCAATCTTGGCCTACCACGTTTCTTATGTTGAACATCCCTACAGCTGTCCTAAAACACAGTTAGTCCCACATCTCTCACTCTCTTTTTTTTTGCGTCTCGAGATTGAACACTTGACACATACCTGCTTGCCAAGACTGACACATCGAGGGCAAGGTCGTCGAACTAGTGCGCCACTCAAGTTAGCATCTTCACCAAGTATCACTCAACCCCTCAAAACCGAAACCGTTACATAACAACGCAGTGGAACAAGCATCGGCTAAGGTTCTGCACCTCGAGTCATGTGACGCCAAGTGACCAATACCCCTGACACATCTCCAGATAGCCAGAATGGGGAATCAAGGTAAAATCGGTGAGAGAAATTAAAAATCAGGGAAACGTGAAGATAGCGGCTCGCTGGCCGATAAGAAATTAAGGAAACGGAATAAAAAGATTTGGGGATAGAGAGATGAGTGAAATTCCCATCCCGCATAATTAATCAAGCGGATAAAGTCCCCCTGAATTCAATTATCGGATGAACACATGGGGTAACCGCCGATATCCCGAGGGCAACTCTCACTCTCGATCTCAATTTCACTCTGTGCCTGAAACGGCAAGACTCCCCCAGAAAATAGAGTTCGCCGGAAAGCGACAGCAAGCAACACAACAAGCAAGCAGGCCACGCCGAGGCCCCGGGTCCGGAAAAAAAAATACCAAATGTTCCTCCCAGCGAAACACGAGGTTTCTGGCCAAAACAAGAAAATAAAATAAAAATTGGGTTTTGGGGGGGGGGGGGGGGGGGGGTCCAATGGGGGAGAAGGAAATATTTATTGAAAATGCCCAAACGTACCATCACAGGCCAAATGTGCCTTTTTGCAATTGACGCATGCAGAGGCCACATGCGACTTTGTTCGTCGAGGAAGTTGTGGTGGTAGGAATGACGGCTGTGTAGCGAATGGTGACCGTTGGCTCCCCGGAGCTGTTGCGGAGATTTGTGTCAGGTGTGAATACGAATTATCCCCATTGTTGGACGGAAACGGCGCAGGAAACTTTTCGTTCTCTAATGAAGTTGTTGTCGCACTGACTGGTCCTTGCAGATGGTGCTGGTGTTCGTGGGAGTAAGCAAGCTGTTCCTGAGCTCGCCCTTGCATCCCCTGTGTATCGTAGGGTAGAGTTACTGGGTTAGAAGGTCTTCGTCGAGCATCCTGCTGCTTAGGAGACAATGGATTGATGGGAGGAGGGGAATGCGACATTGGCGGAGAAGGATAAGGCACCGTATGAGCTGGTCGTGAGGCTCCAGGGCGGGCCGGGCCCAGGTCGAGAGAGAACCTAGCTAAATCGTGTGATATGGATCGACGTTCTCCGAACGAAGAATATACCGGTGGAGGTCGGGGGGAAGAGGATTGCATGGGAGCTTGCATATAGGTAGGAGGTAGGTAGATAGAAAGAAAGTACTTTTTTTTTTTCCTTCTTCACTTTTTGTTTCTGTTTTTCTTTTCTTTTTCTTTCCCTTTCCCTTTTCTTTTTTTTCTCTCCCTCAGATCAGAGAACGGAAACGGTCGTAATAATAAATTTCAAAGACGGCAGTTTCTGATGCTAATCGAGAAGCAGGAGTGACAGGGCGACGGGTACAGTAAGAGACCTCAGCATGGGACGCAAGAGAAAAAGAGATGAGATCAACAAGCTGGTTGGTAACGTATGTAACAGAGTGCGGGTTTAGTCGGTAGCGAAAAGCAGGGAGATTTGGCTCAGGAGGGTGTGGAGTCTGATGAGGAACATGTGAGCATACATATAACGTTCGCCTTCGCTCCGCATCTCAGTCAACCGTGCCTGGACAAACCAGGAGCGACACACATACCTAACATGCGAAGGAAAAAGGGAAAAGATTATCAAGACACAAAAAAGAGAAATTTCGAATAGGTGGAGTGGGCCGGTAGTAATAAGGTAGTGGCGGAGGATGGATGGATGGATGGAAGGATGATGGCGCGTAAAATTGAAATTGACTGAAGATGAAAAGTCTAGCGTTGCTTTTTTAGTCTCCGACGAGAAAAGGTCCTAAAAAGGAGAATTTATGGGGGTGGGATTTAGGATTTGGGATTGGCGGTTTGTGGGGGGGGTGCGAGAAGGGATAGGTAGTAGATAGGTAAGGAATAATTCGAGTTGTCCACCACAATAGCAACGACGGCGCAGTAGTCAGGATTCAAGAAATAGGCAACAAGAGTAAAACTAGGTCCTGGACTACCTACCTACAGTTCAACGGAACAAAGCGGGCGGGTGGAGAGGGTGCGAGAGAGGTAGTGGGGGGGGGGGGGGGGAGGAGGAATATAGATGAAGGGACGTGTGAGACTAGGTATGTCGGGCAGAAGGATTGACTGGGGGGAAGATGGATGGGCCGAAATATTGGAAAGGATGTGGTGATGGGACCAGGGAAATGGAATTCGAAAGCTAAAGAGCGAGCTGCAATTAATTGACGTCCTCTGATCTCCAGCTAATCAAATCAATGGGAGAAAAGTAGGACAACAATAATGTTAGAAGCAAAGAGGTACCGATTCGGGATGGGAAAGAGAATGGGAAAAGAAAACAAGATGAGGATAGGACAGACACGATGAGATAGGATAGGTGGTTCATAGGATGAGGAGAGTCGAAGGATACTCAATATGATTCTATCGTCATCAATCACTCTTACCTCAATCAGCACGCAGGTAGGTAAGCGTTCTCATCACAATCAGTCCTGTCAGCACCCACAACGAAGTAATAAGCCCTGGCTGTTTTCTCCCTCGGCCTCTCTCAACAAAGCTCTTTTTCTCTAGGTCTCTCCTCTCTCTCTTCATTACGATATCGCAAGCAGTTTAGCTCCTGCTGTTCGTTGATGGTCGTTGGCGACAAGACTCGCAAATCTATCTTGCGTGTCGGAGCTACCCCGTGTGTGCGTGCGGTGTGTGTGTGTATGTGTGTGTGTGCGCAGAAATCGTTCAGGCTTCTACTTTACCCTCCTTTGACTCTATGGTACAATACCTGTTGATATGTGCACTCTTTGGGGACGTAATAAAATGTATCACACTACTACCAAGTACTCAGGTAGTGGCGCCAACTCTTGGAGGAACGTCCTTGTAGTTTACTCCCTACCTTACAGGCTACCTTGTTTGCCTAGGTGAGTACTTTACGGTGTTACCTACAATGAGTGCCTAGAACATTTGATATCCGCTAATGAGACTTCTTGCCCCCCTCCCTCTACCTACCTATCCTCTCTGATATCCCTCAATCCTGAATCAAGATGTCATGAAATGTGTGGTGTTATCGTATGAAAATAAAACAAACACAAAACAATAAACGTACTCGAAACAAAAGATACTAGCCCAGTATGTACACGGGGGCTGAGGATAATGGATGTGGATGATAGAGGGTGGAGGAGCAGGGGAGCAGGAGGAGCAGGGGAGCAGGAGGAGCAGGAGGAGCAGGAGGAGCAGGAGGAGGAGAAGAAGAACCAGAAGAAGAACCAGCAGAAGAAAAGAAAGAATACCCCTTCGAACTGGATCGAGATTCAGCAGAATAAGTGTAGCAACGGGCTGCGTGGGATGACACAGTTAGCGTGTGCTATTGGAGCCGGAAGTCAGGCAGAGAAAACAAAACAAATCAACGATCGACGGCTTGAGAGATTAGCGGACGACACAGTTGGCACAATAAGGCCGGCGTAAGAGGAAGGAAAAAGAAAGGAAAATGGAGGATCAGGGCTCAGTCAGTCAGTGTCAGTGATTCACTGTGTCTGGGTACATACTCTCCACGGGTAGTAGTTAGCGTAGTGATGAGGAATGCCCCAGAAAGGAAACAAGACTAAGCCAACAAACAAAACTAGCCAGACGGAATAGACGATCGCTTTTTTCTTGTCAACCATCGCTACCACCGAATGAATTCTCCGTTGCCAGTCGGGTGATCCCTGAGCGCATTTGCAAAAGGGTCACAGCTCACCCACGGTATGAGATTATGATATTTGGGAGGGGTGGGGAGAGTGGAGGTCTCTAGCCCCAGTCAGGTTGTCCCCGATTGGAAACAGACGCAACAGCGGGAGATGGGATGTCGTTGTGACGAATTGGCAAAGCTACTACAGCCCTACGATACACAGCTACTGACTGAATCTGACATTCCGAAACAGGACGGACTTATTCCCGGTGTTGGTGTGTCTTTAAGAATTCGTGACTCGTAACGACAGACCTTATCATTTGTTGGATCTTCCTCAACGTACCGGCAGAACATCAAAAACGGGCTGTGGTCGAGCAAAAAAAGCTTGGAGAACATAAAGGAAAGGAAGGGAAAAAGGAAAGTGAAAAGACCAGATGCAATTCAACCCAGTAGATCACTTGATCCCTATTCGCTTTCCCAAATTCCCCATTTCTCCATTCCCCTTCTTCATCTTCCTCTGCTTATGTTTCTGCCTCTCTTTTTGCCTTATCAAATCTCCCATCATTCGGAAAACGTCTACAGATCCCGAGTGGCTACATATTAGACATATTAGAGCACGGCCGGCCGGGACTACGGACAGAGCCGCAGAGAAAGATGAATATAACCCAACAACCTCGGGGTGGTGGTGAGGGTACCCGAGGTTCAAGTAGGGTGTAGAGTACTGTATACATTTATGTACGTAAATACACCGTACTGAGCAAGGGTTTATTGAAGGCTTATGTAAAAGGATACGTCCACCCAAGCTTTACGAGTTTCTATCTGACATGTGAGACATCAGAAAAGAACGCATTTACAGTTTACCATACCCCATCCTCTCCCTTGAAGTGCACCTCAATGTAATCAAGAGTTTCGTATAAAAACCGTATATAACACCGAACACTGCAGGAGATGAGGACGGATGAACCATATGAAGCGACATGAGAGTATCATATCAGCGACGATCATCATATCCGATCGCTTACCTCTTGCCACGGCCTGTATGCGCCTTTGACCATACGCGGGCAAAAAGCGAAGGTTTGATGAAATAGAAGGCTTCCACCCCGAGACTTTATGTGCGCCCTCATTTGCCCGCTCTACTCTGCAACGGGGAAGAGGCCAGCCTAACGCCGAAAGCTCAGGCGAAATGCCCTTTTCCTGTGATATGCTCCGCTTTCAACGCGCTCTCGGATCGGAATCGTGAGCCTATCGTTTCCGAAGCCTTCTCCCCGAAACTCTTTCGGTACCGAACCCGGACCCAGGTTAAATGAATGGCAAAGTTCTGTCTCAGTTGAGAATTTCCATTACGACACACTGGTACATACCAGTAACAAGGGCTCGGTC